CAGAAATAGCAGGTGTGAGGGTGGAGGAGGAGGAGGAGGAGGAGGAAGAGATGAGGTGCAATGCCTGGCCCAATGCCAGACGGGCCAAGCCGCATCATTGCTATAATCCGGAATATGTCCTCTTCTTTTTGATCCGCACCCCGTCGTCCACTACACCTCCTCCTCTCCCACATCCACCCCTCCCTCCCATATCCACCCCTCCCTCCCATATCCACCCCTTCCCTCCAACCACCCACCCCCCTCCTCGGCCAACTATGTCCACGCCCCTCCCCCCTTCTTCCGTGGAGCGGTACAGCCGCCAGCTCCTCCTCCCGACCTTCGGCGTGCGCGCGCAGACGAAGCTGCAGACCTCGCGTGCGCTAATCGTAGGCTGCGGTGGACTCGGCAGCCCCGCGCTGTTGTACCTCGCGGGCGCAGGCGTGTCCGTATTGGGGTTAGTCGACCGTCCTCACGACGTGGTCGACCGCTCCAACCTGCACCGCCAGATCGCGCACGCGGACGCACGCGTCGGCCAGAGCAAGGTTGCCTCTGCCGCCGCGGCCGCGCGCGCGCTCAACCCGCACGTCGTCATCGAGACGCACGCCGAGTTCGTCGCGCGCAACGCCGTCGAGCTCGTGTCCACGTACCACGTGGTCCTCGACTGCACCGACAACGTCGCTGCACGCTACCTCGTCAGCGACGCGTGCGCGGCCGCGAAGGTCCCGCTCGTGTCCGGCGCGGCCATCGGCATGGAGGGGCAGCTCACCGTGTACTGCGCGGGCGCCGATACACCGTGCTATCGCTGCGTCTTCCCCGCGCCCCCGCCCCCGTCGTGCGTCGGGAGCTGCGATGCCGCAGGCGTGCTCGGGCCCGTCCCCGGCGTCATTGGGACTATGCAGGCGCTCGAGGCGCTTAAGTTGCTGGGCGGTATTGAGAAGACTACCACGTTGAGGCGAAAGCTCTTGCTCTTCGATGCCGCGGATTCCGCGTTCAGGACTGTCAAGTTGAGACCGCGGGCTAGAGAGTGCCCCGCATGTGGGGATGAGCCCTCGATTGAGGTTGCGCGGTTTGCCTACGAAGCCTTCGCCTTGGGGAGGGATGGCAAGGCTCCAGTTGGAGGCGTGACTGTCGAGGCCCCGGCAGCGAATGCAGTGCCTGGTTTGGACGGTTTGCGAATATCTGCGGAGAAGTTTGCAGGGATTCGGAAGGACGCCTCCAAGTATCGCCTCATTGATGTTCGACCGGAAGCTGAGTTTGCTATGTGTCATCTGGAAGAAGCCAAGAGCTACCCGCTGGCCGACTTGCCTTCTTCCGGTGTACTTGTAGAAGGTGATGACGCAGATACTGTCCAGACGATATTTATATGTAGAAGAGGAAACTCGAGCCAGAAGGCTCTAAAGCTAGCAGTGGAGAGAGGTATGCAGAATGCCGTAGATGTCATCGGAGGTCTTCAATCATGGCATCATAAAGTAGACGCCAACTTCCCACTCTACTGACAAGTCGCAAAATCTCCTACTGACAAGTCGCAAAATCTCCTACTTCCAAGAGACAAACCTTTCCCGCACCAAGCTAGCAGCGTGGAGTGTTTCCGGAGCAGCAAAGTATAGTATTGACTCTGGCAGAGGCAAAGTATGTTAAAGAACAGCTTGTACTAAAAAGCAATGCACTACAGGCACTGTTTCACGGGAGCACGTGGCTCCTATAACAGCGCACATGAATACCGGAATGAGGGGTTCCCACGAAGATAAAGAAACTCGTGGGTTATTTGCAAAGCAGATTCTTAGAACCAGTTTCTAGGAAAACGGCTGGGCATGTCGGCATCTCGCCTCTCACGCCCGTCATAGTCCACAACGCTTTACAAGTTGGAAGTAGCTCATCCACCACTATCTCACTGATCAAAAAGGGACTTGCGATAACTTATTCCATCCTTCAAGTCTTGCGCGGTCGCCCTCGCTTGCGCCGTTTTGTCGGCTCCCTGTGCAGTTCCGGATCTATAAAGGGCTCCAGCTTCGAGATAGACGTGCTCTGTTGAGCATCTGATCTGCTCCCATCATCTAGACCTTCAGCTGCAGAGTCTTCTACTCTAGAATCTTGCCTCTCTACCTCGGAATCCGGGGGAATCGACTCTGGTGCTGCGGACAGCCGCTCTGACACACCTATGGTGCCATTCTCATCCGCACTGTTGCTTTCAGCTGCAGATGATTGGCCACCAGTCAGTCGTCTTCTTTTTCTTCGTATAGCCTCGTGGACATCCCCTTCCTCTTCCATGGCTGCTGTCCACTCCCGCTCAGTCAGATTGTCATCATACAAAACTTCTTTTCGCTTCCTTCGTCCTCGACCATGTTCCAGCACATTGATCTCTTCCACGCCCTTCCGTTCCTTCTGAATCTCAGGTTTCAAAACCCAGGATGGTAGCTCAGCTTCATCGATCAAAAGACGCGGCTTTCCTTGTCTTTCCGCAGCAGCCTCAGCATCCATTTCCTCGAAGATGTCAAACTCTTCATCTGAGCGGGCAAGCTGTCTGTTGATTTCGGTCAGCGGCGTTACATCTTGGTCGGTTATGTCGTCCCCCTCTTTCTGACGCAATAAATCTTTGAGCATTTCCTTCCTGTCTTTATCGGAACTCTTATTGTTAAATTGCCCTGCTTGGATGACCTGTGCGTCGATTTGCAGTTTGTGATTTGCTCTCTCCAAAATTTTAACCTCGATACTTCCTGAGCAGATGAGGCGATATACTCTGACCTCTCTGGTTTGTCCAATTCGATGGGCGCGATCTTGCGCCTGCAAATCCATCATTGGATTCCAATCGGAGTCGAAAATAATCACAGTATCTGCCGTCTGCAGGTTCAGTCCGAGACCACCAGCACGCGTAGAGAGCAAAAAGCAAAAATAGTCGGAATTTTCAGCATTGAACAGTTCAAGCATCTGTTGACGATCGTCAGCCTTTGTCGTCCCATCTAACCTCAAGTGTTTCATCCCGATCATGCTAAGGAAATACTCGAGATAGTCCAACGCAGCCGTCATTTGCGAAAACATCAAGACACGATGTCCCGTCCTCATCAGTTTTCGTAGACTGTGCTCTAACAGCTCAAACTTTCCTGATGCCCTCATCAGAAACTCTGGTGGAATTGACATGAGTTCTTCTTCTTGATAGAAGAGAAATGGATGATTGCACACTTTTTTCAATTGCATCACCATATTATTAAATGAGCGGAAACCGCCATGACCCGCACCGGATGCAATTCCCATCTTGTTCCTCATCTGCCTGTAGAGCACCCGTTGCCATACCGACATTTCGCACCTAAACACAATTTCCACTTTATCTGGGAGCTGGGCCTCGACGTCCGTCTTCAACCTGCGAAGCATGAAAGGTCTTAACACTTGGTGCAGACGACTGATGATCAAAAGGTTTTCTTCCTCATTTAACTCAGCAGAGTCCCCAAGTGCAGATGCTTGAAATGGCGCATTGAACCATGTTTCGAACGTATCCGCACTCGAAAATATAGTGGGGAGCAAAAAGTTGAGCAATGCCCATAGTTCGGTCATGTTGTTCTGAAGAGGTGTGCCTGTGAGTAACAGGCGGTTGCGTGACTTGTACTTTGCACCAAGGGTTAATGCCAATTTGCAGTCAGCATTCTTCATTCGATGGCCCTCGTCCATGATGATGTACTTCCAATGAATCTTTCCTAATACGTTTTTATCCTTGACGACAAACTCGTACGTTGTTAGCAAGACGTTGTAGTTGCCAGCACTCATCTGAAAGGCCTGAATATGTTTTCTCGTCGCGGGGTCTCCACGATAAACCACTCTGACGAGGGATGGCGACCAGCGGTCCATTTCTCGCACCCAATTACTCATAACGCTCAGCGGTACAATGACAAGAAACGGGCCATTCAAGCGCTTCACTTCAACCAAGTACGTTATGAGAGATAAGGTTTGGATCGTCTTTCCAAGCCCCATTTCGTCTGCCAAAATGCCATTCAAGTTATTGTTGTACAATGACACCAGCCATTCCAGACCCTCAACCTGGTAGTTTTTCAGCGTTCCGCCGATCAAGAGTCTAGGCTGATAAACTTTTTCTGAGATCGTATGAGTAATAGTATAGTAGTCGTTTCGCCTCTTCTTGAGCTGTTGGAGCTCATCATCTGGTTCTCTTGTGGCGTCTGCTCTTTCCTCTGCATTGGCATTTGCGGCGTCCACACCGGCCTGTCCCCCAGGAGTTGCCACACCGCGCTCTGCGTCCTCCTCGCGAGCTGCCTGCTTCTGACGTTCTACTTGAGCACCGATCTGCACCAAATATTCATCCGTCTGTTTAAGCAGCTGAATAAGACGTTTGTTCTTTGTCGTCTTGAGTAGCTCGAGATATTCGTCTTCGTTGTTGTTTCGAAGTGCTCGCAATCGTTCCATCTGTTCCTTCTTTTTCTTCCGCTCTTCCTCACGTGACTTGTCACGAAAGTACTTGTCCAGATCCTTTAAGAGGCGCTTGTGCAAAGCAGCCCTAGCTGCGGTAGCGCCGCGGAAATTCTGCGCGTGATTCATGAGACTATTCATCATGTGTAAACGTCTCGTCTTCCTCTGCGCCTCTTGCTCCACCCTGTGACTGACATTCCCCCTCGCCCCAAGTATTGCGCCGCCACCATAAGTATGCGGAGTCGCCTTTCGCTTAAATTTTCCTTTCGAATGAAAGGACAAGTCCGAAATGCCCGTACGCCGCAAAACACGTCTCATCGAAGCACGCACCTTCGCCCGTATCGACCGCTGCAGCCGCACAAGCTTGAGTTCCTTCTCCTCTGTTGCGATGCGGCGCTTCACGGGCCCCGGGACGAGCGGCGCCAGCGTCGTGAGCTCGCGTTGTCGCGTCTGAATGCGGGCCGCAACCCGCTTCTCCCGGTCCGCCAACATCGCCTGCAAGGGCGGCATATTCTTCCCCCGCGTCACCACGGCGATCGGGGCGGCCGCCATCCTCCGCCCTACAGACTCCCTGTCCACACGCTCCGCATCACCCGCCACCCCATTCGGCAAGCCGGCCTTCCCGTTCCCCACACCCGCAGACTTTCTTCCTCCAACTACGCCATTCGGCACACGAGCGTCGCCGCACGCCCTGTCCTGCGCCTCTCTCACGCTGTAAATGAAATCTCCTCGCTGCTGCATCATCCTCGGGTCCAGCCTCAGCCCTTCCTCGCGGGTACTCCCCCACTCCTCCATGGCACGCACAGCGCGCTGATGCACATCAGCCATCGCCATTCTATTCAATACCTCATCCTCATGGACGTCCTCCCCCTTCCCGACGACATGCTCCCTCGCCACGGCCTCGCCCTCCCATCGTGGCATCTCGCGCACATCGAACCCCATCTCCAGCGGCACGACCTTCGGCGCACTCGCGCCCTCATCCTCGCCATCCTCCTCCCCCTGCCGTGCGCGCACGACAACCGGTCCCGTTGCGCGCCCCACGCGGACCGGCCTGCCCTTCGCGGCGACGTGCAGCTCCGCGGACACGGGGGCGGCGCGGAGCAGCCTGCGGTACAGGTCGACCTGTGCGCGCGCGCGGAAGACGGTGTGCGCAGCGACGTGCCGCGCGGCGGCCTTCCGCCTCGGCAGCGCGGCGGCAGCGGTGAG